CAGGTGAGCTGCTGGGTGCCCCAATGAGTGGTGGGACAATGGATTACTCCCTCCTGGGTGGTCAACCCTCCCCTTCGCTCAGCTACACTGGCAGCTTCTTCATCAAAGCCGTCCCGGAGCATCCCCAGGACCAGGAATCCCTCATCAATCTGATGTCAGGGATTTTGGGTATCTCTCCCTTCGCCTCCTCTGAAGGCCACCAAAGGCACCTGGATGCTCTTTACCCCTGTCCTGAGGTGGCTCAGAGCCAGCTGGACCTTTATGCCACCTGCCAGCCTGAAATGAACGGATCCACCCAAGCTCCCTTCCCGGAGCAGAGCTACGGTGGCTTCTCCACGGTGGAGGGTGCTCAACCCCTCCAGGCACAACCCACCTTAGGAAACACCTCACAGTGCTTCTTCCAACCCAAGCTCCTGGACAACAAGCAGGACATCAAACTCTCTTCTGGTTCTCCACCTCTGGACAAGTTTAAAGCCTCCTGTACCCAGTGGGAGCCCATCACTCAACATCAGACCTACTTGCCCACTGGCTACCATTCTCCTGAAGCCTTCCCAACTGGGGAGAGCGGTCAGGGGCTGTTCCACCCACTGGGCTCCAAGATGGAGAACGTCTTGTCCGTCAGCTGCCAGTCGGAGCTCGGCAGCCTGGCAGAAGATGCCTCTTGCTTCAACACCCATCTGGGCTTCGGCTGCGAGCCAGAAAACTTCCCGGCCCGCGGGGACTTTGCTGACACCAAGATCCACAACCTCCCTCCTCCGTTAATGCCCGAGTTTGATGCCTCCTTGACCCAACCTGAAGTCCTACCAGGTCTGCTGAGCTCTGCTGAGCTCCTCCATCCTCACCCTTCACCCTCTGTCCCTACTACAGACTTTTTGAGCCACCCCACCTCTTCCTCCATCCCATCCTTGCTGCCCACCAATCCTCCAGCCTTGGCAGAGCCCAAGAAGAAGACCCGTCGGACAAAGTGCTCTTCCAAATGTTTCTGCCCAAAACCCCATGAGAAGGCTTTTGCCTGCCCGGTGGAGAACTGCATCCGGAGCTTCGCCCGCTCCGATGAGCTCAACAGGCATCTCCGCATCCACACGGGTCACAAACCCTTCCAGTGTCGCATCTGCTTGAGGAACTTCAGCCGCAGCGACCACCTCACCACCCACATCCGCACCCACACGGGTGAGAAACCCTTCTCCTGTGACACCTGCGGCCGCCGCTTCGCCCGGAGCGATGAGAAGAAACGCCACAGCAAGGTCCACCTGAAGCAAAAAGCCCGGACGGAGGAGAAACTCAAAGGTTTGGGGTTCTTCTCAGTGGGTCTCTCCTTTGGGACATTGTGAAGCACCAACCTGAACGTTGGGAGATGACGTTTCCCAAGGTCTCCTGAACATCTCATAGGAGAACCGGGGTGGGAATATCCTCCTGGGGTGGCCCCGGAGAAGATGACGGCGGATCAGGCCGTGCTGGGGAGGTGAGGAGCACGCGGGAGGCAGAGGTGACACCGCGGTGGTGGACAACCAGCTGCGGGTGGAAGAAGGATGTGGCAGCTCCGGCCACCTGGAGCCATCTCCAAATTTCAGGGACTGAGTCATTTTTATGGCTCCTATTCCAAGGAAGGGGGAAAAAAAACCCCCAAAAACCCCATGTCCATCAAGAAATCACCACCACGATGGGATTTTTGATCTTCCCAAACCCATGGACATCTTATATTGGTAACCACCTGTGATATCCCCCATCAACACTTTTCATGGAGCTCCCAACCAGTTACTGACCAACCAAGATGCTCAGGGACTGTGGTTGTACTGGTCCTTTCTCCTGAAGGAGAGAGATGTCAGCAGGCTCCGGCAACCGATTCGTAACAACCCCTTTGGAAAGGTGATGGT